GATCTTTATCCATGTATCTTTAACAGTCATCCTCGGATAGAAATCATATTTTTTGTGTCAAAAATTGCAAACATTAAAGTTTAACTAATTTGATCTTAATTGAACAACTATAAATATTATGAAATTGTGATTTCATTAGATATCATATTAGTCGAATTAATGATTTATCTTTATTACAAAACTTGTATGAAAGGTTTGTGGAAGAATCTTTAATTAGTTACTATTTATTTTTTTACTTAATAATTCAACTATAGTACATTGAAACCTTTCACTTTTTTATAGTTATACTAGTAGGATGTGCTCCCGCACAGGTAAATTAAACTTGTCATTATAGAAATTAATCTTTTAAATATACCTGTATAATGCTCCTTATAATTGAGAAAGTACAACCAAAAATAATGAAATTGAATTATTACAACAAAATAATTGCATTTTCATTTCATAAAATGTAGTTGTGAAGTTGACCACGAATGTCAAAGACCATTAATAAGAGCGAAAGATACGTGAAAATACAACATGTATTCCAACCAATCTTCATAAAAATTAGAATTGTAATATTAATCTTCAATTTGACTTCAATTACTTCACCTATAATCATAACTATTTAAATTATATAACTCATACTATGATTGAAATTGACCAATTTATGATAGAGAAAAATATGACAAACATACCTACTAAATATTGTGAAAAACTTCCTTAAATACAATATTAGTGGTAATATTTGTAGCCTGTTTTTCTTTGTCATGAATAAAAATTTTAAGACCTTCTTTAGTCTTAACTCGAGAAATTTCCATATACAATTACCATGACTAAAAATATCATTTGGTAAGTATAATCCAACATTTTCTAAAGATTGACCCTGGGATTTGTTAATTTTCATAGAAAAAACAATAGTGGAAAATTGTTTTCTTACCAACTTAAATGGTCATGGTGATTTTGAGGGGGACAAAGTCAATCTAGGAATATAAATGATGTTACCTAAATTCTTTCCATAAATGATAGCCTCAATGACATGATTAGCAAACCTTGGTACGGTGAGTCTTGTATCATTGCATAACCCTTCAGATTGATCTAAGTTGTGCAACTACATAATAGTGGTACCAATCTTCAACTTGATTGAATGATTAGAAAATCCAAGTGTTTTAAGAGCATTCAGAAATTCAGGAGTCAGGTGCTTGAATGCATTAAAGTCATTAGATTCAAATCTATTAATATAATCACTACTAAAGTATTCATTTTTCTCCTAAAATTTTAAAACAATAGTGTAAGGTAAAAACAAAATAAATAGAAGGTATAGAATAGTAACTATATTAAAACATTATAATTGCATGTTTAGTACCTGAAAGAAGGTTTCTGGTGTGTTGATTTATATCATCGACTACATTAATTGTTAAAGCTAAAATTGCACGACTTTGCAGATAGTTGGAATCATGGTAGTTAAGAATGAGATCAAGATATGTACTCTCAACAGTAGCCTCAATAGGATTTAAAAAAATTTTAATTAGAAAATTATCATGAATAGAAATGTCAACATAACCATCATTAGACTCAAACATGGTTTCATCTCCAATCTTTAATATCCACACAGGAAAAATGTGGATTTCCTCTTTGGTAGATGTACATGCACCGCTTTGCAAGCGCATGTTCTTTGTAAGTCTGGGGACTCTGCATTGATCCCAAATATAAGAAGCACTGATTGTTGCAAGAATAATATCATATCTACTACCTCTAAGAATAATAGGCAGAATTTTTCTAAAATCACCACCAAAAACTACAACCTTTCCTCCAAATGATTTTTTAGAAGCTTGTGGATTTTCACTCATAATATCTTTCTTAACCTTAGAAGCTCAATAAATTCATCATTTTTGTCAATGTTGCAAATTGAAGATTCCAAAGTAAGGACTGAAATCTTAAATCTGGAATGAGTTGTTCTTCCACCAAGTAACAACAAACTTGCAATCCCACTTGAGGCAACATGTAAGATAATTTTTCTTTTTGAATGAAGTATAACTGCCAAAGTGTTCCTCATAAATGTTTTACCCATTCCACCATAGTCATATAAAAGAAACACCCACCTTTTTGGTTTTCTATAGCTTCCATGACTTCAGAAAATATGTACTTCTGCTCATTTACAAATATAATTGTTGTGACATTAAATTTAGTATGACATATAGAATAAGAAATGTATATTAAAATTTATGAAATGTAAAAAAATAAAATAAATTGCATAAAATAATGAAAAGCATGGTCAAGTTACCTGTAATAGATGAGTACAAATTATCAAAAATTTGTTTTTGAGCAATTGGATCATATTGCCTCTCATCATAAATAACCTTATTTCCAATAAATGAAAGTACAAATTTCTTTGGATATGTAATTGACTTGGAATCCTTCAAACTTATGTTGTTCTTTTGCAATTGTGTTTCTATTACAATCTGTGTAAGTTATTTTATTTCTTCATCAGTAAGTGTTAATCCTATGATAAAAAAAGGGAAATTTTGTAAATAAAACTATTTATTACAGAATAGGAACAGCAAGCAGAAAAATAATCCATAAAGAGTATACCTGGATTTCTTGTCAACATATGTTGTTCGTAAATAATATCATCAGATAAGCACATCCATGTATTAGTCCAAACATGTTATGGCCTATTCATGGATGATGATAGCAACATAGTACAAATAACTTCCGTAAAAAAACAGAACCCCAAACATGTGCCTCTTTTATTGCCTCAATAAATTCTCTATCATCTTGTAAAAATCTCATTGCAAAGCATGTTTCTCTGAAAGTTTTATGTTAGAAACCATCCACTTTCTTGATGTCTTCATAAATTATTGGTCCTTTCTTGACAGTTAACATCATCCATAAATAATATAATTCATCTATGCTTTTAGGATCCAAATAAGACGACCAGTGGTATACTCTATTTTCCTTGGCTTCCAACTCCTACTTCGTTCACGGTAAACAAATTAGAGACAAAGTCACCATATGTTAATAATTTTGTATCATCATAAATCTTGTTAGCCTCAAACAGTGTTGTGTACATAGATTCTATAACACTCGATTTGAGTAAAACATTTCCAATTTGCTTAAAGTCTTTGAAATAAACAAAATTTTCTCCTTCCATATGAAAAAACAATCTCTCCACGACTTGCTTCCTACTGTGTATATAGTATGATAATATCCTCCAACATATTTCACTTAGGAAGATGTATCAACAATTTAAATATTGCTTGATTTCGTTAATGTGTTTTTTCTTTCCAAATGTAGTATCATCAGAAGATTGAATGACAACAGATATTCAATCAAAACCTTTATTTATATACTTGAATAAGTATTTGATAGAAGAACTTTGATTACACCATTCCATTTTGATGTGTGCTATGTCCGCTGTGAAGAATGATTCCATTTTTATCAATTGTGTGTCTCTTCTCCTGTAAACTGAATAGCCATATTGATCAACTATAGTTGAAGATTGGAATTTTTTTTTAATACTTAGAACATTTCTCATCTTTCATGCAAGGTGAACTTAGATTTGCCAAACCACAAGAGTCATGAACCATATGAGTTTTAACCAAGTTGTACAACTTAGGGTCTTTCAAAGGATCGGACACTTCAACACAATTGATTTTCTCAATATCTTCAAGTTTTGGATATTTGTTAGAAGGATGCAAAAAGATCAAGATATGTGCATGGAGCAACCCTCTCTTTTGAAACTCAAGTGTGTGCACATCTAGAAAAGAATAAGAAAAGAATAAGTTAGTTTTATCAATGGCTAAAAAAATGAAAAGTAAGGGTGAGAAATAAGAACTTTCATGCAAGGACTTTGCCTAACATACTCTTCTTTGTTAAATCCAATAGCAGCTGATCAAACTTAATTTTAAATATCATCGATATCACATATGGTCGATCTTGCGCTTTCAAATGAAGAGGTCTACGTAATCTTTGTATTTCAGACTAATTTGGATTGTAAGCAATTGTTATAAAAAATTAGGAAACCCCATTTTGCTACAAATAATCATTCCACCATACTACAATTGATACATAAACCTACGACCACCAACATAGGAAGAAGGCAATATCACTCTTTTTCATGTATTTGAACCTAGTGTTTGACTTTGATCACCCTCTTCGTTTAAACTTTGTACTTTGACACCCTTAACTTTGATTGATTTTCACAAATCCATTCTAATTTTTCAGACTCTAACATTATGTAACCATCAACCATAAATTGTTGAAATAGTGATAAGAATAATTTAGCCTCACATAATCTATTTTGAATGTGAAATGATAGTTACTCTCTTATTGTAAATCTATTTCTCTTATTATCTTAAAAAAGACGGCTAAATCTCTATGAATGTTAGGCCTACACCTATCCTTTCCATAGAAAAAAATCAACTATAAATGTTCCGAAGTAATTTCAATAGATAGCATGTTAGTTTAATTAATGATTTATATTTATTACAAAACTTGTACGAAAGGTTTGTGAAAGAATCTTTAACTGGCACCGTTTATTTTTTTACTTAATAATTCAGCTATAATACATTAAAATTGAAGTTGAAATCTTTCACTTTTATAAAATCTTTCGCTTTTTATAGGCATATTACACATCATGGAAATACTACTCCATTAAAGTAATGATAATATTATACACAGTTTAATCTTATGATTGTGATGTGAATTATTGGTTTGAAAACCGGCTAATCCCGTGACTTTATGTCAAAGTTAAAAATAAATATATATCTAAAAAATTTCATGTGAAAATGATATTTTCTTTTAAAACTATGTTAAAATTAAAAAATAATATTCCAAAAATATTATTCTGTCACCATCATACATGTAAAACATGAAACAAGCATAGAGCATAGGTTTAGATTCTATATAAAGAATTTCCACTTTAGATAAAAGAAATTAAAAATGGAAATTTTTAACATAGATTTCTTCACAAATCATTGATCAAAACTCACAATTCAATCACAAAACTCCACAAAGTTTCAATGGATTTTTCAACTGGGTTGAATTTGAGATTGCAATTGAAATCACCACTATCACAGAGTTTCCTGTGTTCTTCTCCAACCCATTTCACCTACAGCTCCAATTCAATCCCTTTCACCAAAAAGTTTGCTTCTTTTTCCACAATCATGGCTACTTCTGCTGCATCAGCGGCAAAGCCAATCGCTTATGGTTTCAAGACGTTGTTAGAAACTTTCACTGTTGATGTTCATAGAGCAGAGAATAGACCACTGAATGTGCCCTTGATTTCACCTTTTACAATAGCTTCTTCAAAATTGGAGAAAGTAGAGAACGTTGCTATTAGAGTTGAATTGAGTAACGGTGCTGTTGGGTGGGGTGAAGCACCGATTTTGCCTTTTGTTACTGCAGAGGATCAACACATAGCTATGGTTAAAGCTTCTGAAGCTTGTGCTTTCTTGCTGAAATGTCCTGCATTAACATTGGGTTCTATATTGGGGAAAATTGGTGATATTCTTCCGGGTCATCAATTTGCTTCAGTGAGTGATGTTTGATCATAGTGCTTCTGTTGTTTGTTATTCTGATTCTAATCATTTCGTAGTTCTTCTGTTTGTGAATATGATGTTTGTTTTTATGCAAATTTCACTTTCAACCTATGGAACATTGAAGGTTAGGGCTGGAGTGGAGATGGCAGTAATCGACGCTGTCGCGAATAGTATTCGTGTACCGTTGTGGAGGCTTTTTGGTGGCGCGTCAAATACCATAACCACGGATATAACAGTTAAGATCTTATATAATCTTAGACAAATGCTTATAAAGAATGTAATAGTTTTCTAAGTTTATTATATATGCAGATCCCAATTGTTTCTTCAGTTGAAGCAGCTGAATTGGCTTCTAAGTACTATAAACAAGGGTTTAAGACTTTAAAGCTGAAAGTGGGAAAGAATCTGAATGCAGATATAGAAGTGCTTCAAGCGATACGTGTTGCTCACCCCGAGTGTCAGTTTATTCTCGATGCTAACGAAGGGTATAACTCTGACGAAGCAGTGGAAGTTCTTGAGAAATTACACGGTTAAAACCTTAACCTACACAATATTGAATTTTCTTTCTCCATCCTTCATATATGATCCAAATGATTGTCGGTGTCAGACTAAAAGCATACACATGCATCTTTATTGCATTATTTTTGCTGATAGAAACTTAATTTGTTTTGTTTTGTTACAGAAATGGGGTTGACCCCTATTCTATTTGAGCAACCAGTTCACAGAGATGATTGGGATGGTCTTGGTTATGTGAGTAACATAGCGAGAGAAAAATACGGAGTATCTGTTGCGGCTGATGAGAGTTGCAGAAGTTTAGTTGATGTTTACAGAATAGTTGAAGGGAATATCGTAGATGTGATTAACATCAAGCTTGCTAAAGTTGGAGTTATAGGTGCAATGGATATTATTGAAAAAGCAAGATCAGCAGGATTGGATTTGATGATTGGTGGTATGGTTGAGACAAGACTTGCTATGGGATTTGCTGGCCATCTTGCTGCTGGCCTTGGATGTTTTAAGTAAGTACACTATTGTTATTGCATTTGAAAAGTTTGAGATTTTCTTCTCAGTTTTTGCTGGTTTATATTGTTTTCCTTATGTAATGTTCGCTTTCTGTTTTACGAAATCATTTCAATATTGCAAACTCTTCTGCAGGTTTATTGACCTAGACACGCCACTTCTGCTATCAGATGATCCAGTTCTTGAAGGCTATGAAGGTATGTATACTCTAATACCCTATTGTTGCTTCTTTATAGGTTTTCATTAAAAGATTGGTTAGATTACACTAAAGTATTTCATTGAACAGTTTCAGGTGCCACTTATACATTCACAAATGCTAGGGGACATGGTGGATTCCTTCATTGGGACAACCTTGCTTAGCAAGTTATGGTTTTCTTGCACAATAGACATCACTTTAATAAACGAGGCAGTAACTTGTCTGTGTACAAAGTACAGTCTTTATCTTCACTTAGGAACAAATACTGTTGGAGAGAAATTGTACCTCCAAGAGGGACTCAGCTACTACCTCTTTTACTACATTGAAAAACATTTCAAGTCACATGCAAAGACATTGTAGTTCTTGCACTCCCCAAAGTAGCGTCTCTCCACAGTGTCACCAAATATCTGTTGTTGCACGGTTAAGCGTCTCTCCAGTGTCACCAAATATCTGTTGTTGTACGGTTAAGATGATGAGACAAATGTAAAATCCAAGTTGAGGTTACCGCAATAATTGATCATGTTCATGTAGTATGCATTTGTTTGAAAATTTGTATGCAAAACTTCTGGGAATGTTTTGTTTTCAACAGTTTCAAGTTCTTGTAAGTGTGTGTTGTGTTCTTTTTCTTTAATTTCTTGATTTTTTTATCATTAAGCGAATATTGGACAGAAACAAGCAAATATTTGAGAAATGTCAGGGAGAAAGGCCTTATACACAATTAACCAAATTGATCAGTCAAACAAGTGTTCAATGATTTACTATCTTTTAACTGTCAATAAACAGCATTGCAGTGAACATCACTTATGTACATTAAATGATATTATTGGTGAAAAAGACAAGTAACTCTCCAAAGCATGTCTAAAAGTCAGCCACAGCATAAACCACCGGCTAAAGGTAAAAACAACATCAACACTAACACTAAACACGAAAGATATGACTAAATATTGGGCCCTTTGTGTGTCTCCTAAGATTTTGGGGGTGAGGATCAGATCTTCGCAGCCTTGCCCAGTATGCAGAGTTGTTTCTAAAACTAGAATCCAGATTGCAACTAAAAAGATAAAGATAAAAATCTTAAAAGAAAACAAAAATCTGGGAAGCAATAATGAACTTTGGCAGTTGAAATGTCTAAAAGACTAAAACTCCTGCATCAAACATGAAAACCTCAAGCAGGAACTTGATTGGATTCTCTCAATCTCAGGGACTTAGCATGCAGCCTCTCCATGAAAGCTGGATTGCCTCGGAGTCTCTCTTTCACATATGAAGTCCGAGCATCATCTACTAATTTATTAGCTTTTCCAGCTTCTTCAATGAGTGAGAGAAGAGTCCTCAGGCAGTCCTTTCTGTTTTCTTCACGATGCTCAAACCTTTAAAATATGAAAAAGAAAAGATTAAATACAGATGTGGCTACCTCAAGGTTTTCCAATCAAGTTTTATAAAATTGAATAATGCATAAGACAGCTTTTGTTTATATTGCGTTTTACCTCTCACTAGTAATTGTAAGCTCATCTTTCCCGGGATGATAACGCTTTCCAACTAATTCTCTAAGACGGCGAAATTGGTATTTTGAAAGTCCAAGCTCCTTCACCGTTACAGATAGTTTCACTTTCCTGTTTTTGGGATGCCATGCATCACCGCCAGGGGCAAATACTACTCGAGTTTGCCACCGGAGAATGGGGCCTTCGCCAGGTGGATCATCAGAATCCTTCTTCTTGTCTGGCACAGAAGTATCAACAGACTGCATGGCCGCTTCTTTTTCTGCTGTATTCAGATATTCCATCACAAGCTCATCCTCAAACTTCTTAAACTGTTCATAAGCAGCTTCAGGTTCAAGTTCCCCTCTTTCACACATTTCCCCGAGCTCATTAAATTTTGTTTCCACCTTCTGTTTTATCTCATCTAAATAAGATACCAAAACAAAGAAAATAATCAAAAGGAGTACTCAAACTGCAGATGATCACTAGAATTCAATTCGATCATCATACCAATAGAACACAAATTTTACGTTGAGGCCTAAACATGCAACAAATGTCAAGCCCGAGTATCAAACCCTTAATAACAGCCTTGCACATTGAAATTGAATGGATTCCATAAAAAAAAAAATAAAAAAAAAAAAGCAGACTGATATTCAATTTATAATCAAGAAGATTCTTTCAAAAATGGCTATTTCCTACAATCGGTGCCGCATATTAAAAGAAAAACCCCTATTCCCTCATATTCTCCTCTAACCAATAATGAACAATTTCTACACTACTGCAGCACAACATAGAATATCAATCGATAATAATCCAATCACAAATTTAATACGCTACCTAGCAATAGCATAGCAATGGATGACAAACCAACTATGGAGATTATGAGTGCGCTTGGAAGGCCTTTAGTTGAGTTTACCTCATGGCATAACTACTATCATAAGTGTTTGGGAGAATTCACATGTTACAAAAATATCTTACGATGTTTCAATAATCTCTCAAAATAAGCTAACGCGAACAGCTTACAAGTTACAACTTATATGAAGACAGTTCGAGCACATTTTCTCTTATTTGATAAACACTTGAGTATTCTAAATACCCAACTGCACCATACATATATTTTCCCGAATTTATTTAACCTTCAAAGTCAGTAAAACCAACCATAACCAAATTTTCTAAGATATACAACCCTGCCTATGATAGCCTTGTTATCCATAGCAGGTCACATACAACAACAACTAAGCCTTATCCCACTAGGTGGGATTGGCTACATGAATCAACTTTCTCCATAATGTTCTATCTAGGACCATACTTATATCCAAATCGTTCATCCCGAGATCGATCTTAATAACTTCTCTTGTAGTTTTTCTAGATCTTCCTCTACCTCTAGTTGTTTGACTACTCTCCATTTGATCTACTCTCCTTACCACAGAATCTACATGTCCAAAACACCCAAGTCACATGTCCACATAAGAGGATAGGTTTGTGTTTAAGACACCCAATGTAAGACTTAGTCAAATCTCTGACATTCATTAGCAGAATCCCCTCAGTAGGATAAGGCTTAGTTGTTGATGCATACAAATAACAAACAAAGTAATGTAAAGCATAACTTAAAGATACGAAAATTGGATTGTCATATGTGTAGTACATAAATACCTGGGAGAAGTTTGTCCCAGCTAAGCATATCTTCAAGAATCTCCTCACACTCCTTAGCATCCATAAGAAAACCATGCTTAACACCATCCTCAACAATGTCATCCCATTTCTTGTCATCCATATTAAAGTACTGATCTTTAACCATTCTCTTCATGACAACATCTCTAGCATTATACAAATCATCAATCTCCTCATCAGTTTCATGTAAATCCTCAAAATCAGATTCAAAATCCTGATCATCCACATCGTCAATAGGTTTCATGCTGAGTTCTTCCATCAACTCATCATCAGTATCCTCGTGCTTCCCTGATAACTTCCTCTGCATAACCGCCTCCATGATCGAAGGAAGCATCTGCTCGTCGCCTTTTAGGTATTTATCAATCCGCGACTTCAGCTCTGAAACAAAAACAACAACAACAATAATAATTAACAGATTCAAATTCAAAATTCGCATTGTGTGTGTGTGTGTGTGATAATTGAAATGAAGAGAAACCTTTGTTGTCGACGTCTTCGATTTCGACGGGGGCGGTGTCTTTGATGGAGGGAGGTGGAGAGGGTTTTTCATCGGAGGAGAAGAGTCTGAATCGGGAGGGAGATGAAACGGCGAGTGCGGCGGTGGAGGAAGAGTGGTGGTGAAGAAGATTGCGAGTGAAGAGAGAAGCATTTCGAAGCAGAGATTGTCTCATGGTTACTTCACTCTTTCACGTTCTAGGGTTTAGAGTTTCGATCTGTGCTCCCTCTCTTCGTTTCTTGGTTTCGTGTTAACTTTTGATTATTACCATTTTTCAGTTCAGCTCTAAATTTTTTTAACGTAAATAAAATTAAGTAAACAATAAAATCTATTATTACTCTCCTCAACTTAAACAAATAAAAAAAAACATATGTTTAAGGTAAATTGGTTTTGTTGAAGAAATACAACATTGCAACAAAAGATGTTTACCTTTACAACTACAAATGATTGCTGAGACGATTAGTTAGCGCTCTATTAAGGTGGATTTCAACTTCTGATAAAAGCTATAAAGTTAAACACTAATGTTTAAGTTAGTGAGAAAATAATGACTGATATATGAATGAGATTTTGATCATATTTTTTTCTTCGCCTCTAATTCTTTATATATATATATATATATATATATATATATATATATATATATATATATATATATATATATATATATATATATATATATAAGAGTTGGTTGGAACATTTCTAATTTGAATCAGATTTAGATTTTTTCTTATTCGACTTTTGATCGGCCTTGAACAGTTGACTTTAAGGAGACTTTTTGTGGCGTGGTAGCGAGAAATCTTTTATAGAATTGAGTTGGATTCCCTGCATTGGGGGCGTTGTTTGGAGAAGTGGAAGAGGTTTGGCGGGTGACGTGGGTATTCTAGGTAGGGCTGGCAATGAACCAAACCAACTCGAAGATAGTTCGGAATTAGACTCGACAATTAAATCGTTGAACTAAGTTCATGAACCAAATGAGTTGAGTATGAGCGAAAAATTAAGTTCGTTAACTAAATGAGCTGAACTTGAACTATACATAGTTCGACTCGTTAGGTTCATGAGTCAACTCGATTACATATGAAAAGAATTATACTGTCTTTAAGATTAGGTTTAAATATTTACTTCAAATCTTAGACAAATTTAATCTTCAATTTAGTAGTTTTTGAATTAGACTCTCAAATGTATCTCTTGAAAGTTGTGTAGGTTTTGAATTAGTAGATTTCGAAGATAAAGTTAAATTTCAATATGATAACTTTTATTTTATTTTATTTAAAATATATATATTTATTTAAAATGTCAAATATACTAAAAAATATATATATTTAAAAAAATAGTTTTTAAGTTCGAGAACCATGTGAGCTGAACCTAATGAGATGAACCTAACGAGTCGAACCGAACTGTTCGTGAACTTATAACGAGTCGAGTTTGAGCTTAAAAAAAAGTTCGTGTCAAACTCGAACTCGAACTCGAATTCGAACAATTCTTAACGAGTCGAGCCGAGCTGAGGTGAGTTCGACTCGACTCGACTCATTTCCAGCCCTAATTCTAGGGAACAGGTGCATTAAATGTGAGTTTCATCATTGAGATATTTCGTAGGATTTCTTTAACACGTGACCCTATGTGAGTGACACATCTTTTAAGGATACTCAAGTACACTTAATTGTTGTTGTATTCCCGAGGCGAAATCCAATTATTATTTTTAAAGCATACATATTGGTGAAAATACATTGTTTCTTCACATATTCCTAAGACATTGTGTCATAAACCAATTGGTGTTTGATTTTTGTAATTGTTCTTTAATTGCCTCCATTTCTCTGCAAAACAACGCTCTCTAACATAAATTGGGTTTTTAAATAGTATATAATTAAACTTATGGTATTTTGTGGTATCTAATGGGACCACTTTAAAGTTTTTGATGGATTTTATGAATATTTATAAAATGTAGATGAGTTGTTTAAATAATTGAGAAGTGTAAAATAATATAAAAAATTTGATAGGGTACATTTAAAGAACCAAAGTGGGTGCAATGGATGTTGATGCTCTTATGCCTCTCCATTTTCTTTCGTGTTGTCATTGATTGATTTGTCTCGCTTCTATATATAAGGGTAACTTGAGATTTCAAAACTTTCTGCCCCTTACACAAACTGCAAGTCCCTTTTCTTTTACACACTTTAATTTTCTTCTCTGAACTTTGACAACACTCATTTCATCAATCTTTTTCCTTCTTTGAGTAATATATTTCCTGGTCCAGTGCATCTTCTGAGTCATCATTTTTAATTGTTATCTTCATTTTAGCTCTCACATGTATCATCTTTCTCTTTCCTTGTTTCTAGTTCACTGATATCCTTCATTGTTCTAGTTATGGACTTCATAGGAAATATACTTGCAAATAAAATAAATATATCCAGTAAGGACAATTCCTCTTCTACTGTTGGTATAGTGCATCCAAGAATGCCAAATGTTGACCCTTTAGAAGGTAACCCACCTATTATGAACCTTATTGTGCTTAGTGATAGCTTTGGCTTTGGAGGAAGTTTCGTTGAAAATGACAGTGAGCCTTCTAGTACTTATTCTATTATAGGCGTAGATGATTCCTTTAAAGGGGATAAAGGATGAACCATGATAGTCTAGATGTTAAGGAAGTGGATGTCGGTTTCCATCCCCCCATATTGTCTTCTATAGATCTCGAACCTGTTTGCGTTACTAGAATGAACGGTTGACTCTGTGGAGGCAAATCGCCACACATCACACAAGTCTGCAAGACATTGGTTAATGCAGGTTTCGATGATGACAAATTCCCTGGATAGATTGGAAATTATGAACTCCAGATCTACTAAAACAGATGCAACGTATCACCCACCATATCCTTTTATACTTGTCTTAAAACTTCTGAAATGAATATACTATGTGTAGATAAAATGCAATCATGACCAAAGGCATGAAAGACCTCAAACTAATGAATTTTTGCAAGTATGCAGGGCATGAGTCGACCATAGGGTCGGCGCATGCATCAGAACAATTTTGCACTAGTCAGCGCACAAGGCAATGAGTCGACCATAGGGTCGGCGCATGAAGGAATAACTTTCCAACGGGTCAGCGCACGCCGACTGTATGGTCGACGCACACTGATGAATTTTCCAGATTTCCAAACAACACAGGCCATGCGTCGACGCACAGACCTGTTGTGGTCGACCGTTCGCACTGAAAATCTGTTTTAAAATGCTTCCCTCTTATATTTGAAATACTGTTATGTCTAGAATTATGTTGGCACTATATATACTTGTTTAACCACTTGTGTCATTTGAACATTTGATATTCTTTTGATTCATGTGTTCAAAAAACAAGAAAGAGTGAAATAGGTGTCCAAGATTCATCATCTTCATCTTCAACATCTCACAACATTTCAATTACACACAATCATTTTTGAAATGCATTTGTGAGAGATTCAAGGTGATAAGGTTCGAAGCTTAGATTGGAGAATCAAGTTCGGGTTGAAGATTGTGACAGGTTCTTTCTTGAATAAAACCATTGGGGTTTTACCCTCCAAGATTGGTTTAAATTTTGGGGGTTTTTGGACGAGATTCTTCATCAAAGGTCAATCGAGCGAAGGTGATTGTGAAGAGGTGTTCTTCACAAGTCTAGTAGCTGATTCGGTGATTTTGAAGGGAAGATCTCGGGGTCGATTTGGTGCTGTTGAGATCAGCCGGAGCCAAAGGTTTGAACAACAACGTGTTATTCAATAAGGTGGATGGAGTCGGTGGTCCATCAACACAAATCGGAGGACTTGATTCATCTTGAATCAAGGGGCAAGGAGTGAAGGCAACTTTCAACACATTGAGATTTCTGTTGTATATTTGCTGCTCAATCCTTGTATAAACTGTTACATTCAACAGGTGATATCTATAAAATCTATCTCAATTCTAGTTTTAGAATTGAGGGCAGACATACCCCGAAGCGAGGACGACGGGGGAACTGCCTCACCAAATACTTGTCTTCTCTATTTTCAGCATTTACGTTATAGCTCAAAATAAGTGATTTTTGTATAAGCTCTATTGTCAAAATTGTGATATCAATTGAGTAAGAGATTAAAACTCTGTTTTTGACTCCAAAGTACAACAAGACATTGTACTAGGCTGGTTGGAATCACTTACTCAACATAAATATCACTTGGAGTGTTTTGCACACCAAGTGTTTGACATATTGCTTGAACCAAAATTATCTTACTTGTGTATCTAGTTTTGGTTTGCTCTTTGAATCATTGGAACTAGGAATCCTTACAACTGAAGCAAATAATTGATAAGTGTAATTAGTGTTGTGATTCTATTTTTCCAAATTGTCATTAATCCAAAGGCTTACGCATATCCGGTTTTCCAATAACCGTTCGTTTTAGACTATATTTTCCTCGGTCGCTTCCGCACTTAAAACATTTTTAAAACCAATTTTAAATTGGTAGCGCCGACTCAAATTTTAATTGGGGATCTATTCAACCCCCCCCCCCCCCTCCTTCTAGATCCATGCCATAGTCTAACAAGTGGTATCTAGAGCTCCGGTTATTCGGTGCTTCAAATACAACGTAGATAGAAAATGGCTAACGAACCAAAAGGGGCGTACAATAGGGCTCCCGTTTTCAACGGTGAAAATTATAGTTATTGGAAAGACTGTATGCGTGTGCATATAAACTCCATAGACAGAAAAATATGGAGCGTTATCCTCAATGGTCCAATAGAAATTACTATGACCAATGCGGATAACGTAGTTGTGCCAAAGCCTGAAGCACAATGGACCGATGACGATGAGAAAAAATACAATTATGATTGGAAAGCTAAAAACATATTAATCTCCTCATTAGGTGTAGATGAATACTATCGTGTATCCCATTGTCCTACTGCTAAGGCCATGTGGGATTCACTACAAATAGCCCATGAGGGGACAAACGATGTTAAGTTGGCTAGAAACAATACATTAACACAAGAGTTTGATCTCTTTTTCATGGAGCAAGGGGAAACCATTGCTGACATGCAAAAGAGATTTACTCATCTCATCAATCGTTTGCATTCATTAGGTAGGCCTGTTTCCAATGATATTGCTACTAATAAGATCTTAAGATGTCTTAACAGGTAATGGCAGCCTAAAGTGACCGCCATCAAAGAAGCACATGATCTTACCTTATTAGACTTA